TTTTTATTTTTATGTCTGGTTTGCCTAGCAAATGTATTAGGCACCATCACGACGGGTTGAAATTTTGGGTCGTGACAGTGAACTATTTGAATCATGTTAGAGGTTACATATAGGTCGGTCCCCTGATTGAACATGATAACTGCTATTTTTGTGATGAAATTTCCCAATTTGAGTTATGGTAGTACATTCCGCATAGGCATACACCTTAGCATGTCACTTATATCAGTCCATGGGTATGTAATTTGTTATCCATTGTTCATGTACATGTATTCCTGTATATATTCTTTCTGTGTGATAGCACATGAATGGTCCGTGCGGATCCGAGTTACTATTGGCACGCGAGTTGTCCGTGCGATTGTTACTATTGGCACGTGAGTTTTCCGTGCGGTTGATATTGCTGGCACGTGAGGTATCCGTGCAGCATGTGGATAAGGATTCATATCCCTGGGGCTACCCTCTCATGTTTCTCTCTTGGTGGTGTACACGCCGGTTGTGAGAAACTGATGGGTTTTTGGTTGATGTGGATTTTGGTAAAGTTGATCATTAGTTGGACTTTGCATCTCTTCTCTTTTTGCAAATTCCCTGGATGTATACATGATTTTACTGCATCACTTCTCTATTTGCTAGATCCGGAATGTATGCATGTCTTTATGCATATTTTCTTTATATTCTACATTACTTGATGAGATGAGACACGGTACATATCTTCTCTATATGTGACTCCATGTGACTTGATTTGTTTAATCATGCATATCTTCTCCATATGCAATTGTTGAAGGATTAATTGATGTTTCATGCATATCTTCTCTATATAAAACTGATGAAGGATTATCTCTTGTGCACCGGTATGGTTTTATCTGTGTTATATGATTAGATGGCACCATTGTTGTGTATTTGCTAAATTCAGGAATTGAACAGGTTATTAGCGAGAATCATTAATAATGCTTGCCTCTATTACCTTGCCAAAGTTAGTTATGATACTTGTTGAGTAAATGGGGTCGATTGTACTCATATTACACTTCTGCACTCTGCCTGTAGATCTTGGAGCTGAGCTATTGTGGATGATGGAAGTTGGCATTAAAGATGTACCTATTTTCTGGATATAGCTACCACTTGTCCTTGGTATATGTTAATTCGTACTCTGTTTATGTATATTTTAAACAGATATTGTATTTATTTTCGTACCAAATTTGTGTATCTTATCTTAGTGGATTATGACTTGTACTACCAATCCTTGGGATATTGTATGAAAACTCAGCTATTTCATTTATTGAATACTTATGATCTTTATTAGAATTGTGTAACTATTATTTGGCTTACCTAGCGAGTCGGGTTAGGTGGAATTTGGGTCGTGACAACATTATAAGTCGATAACAATCCCTACATGATCGTATTTCCAAGTGTTCTTACTAATAACTATTGTTTATTTTATTGATTACTTATGATCTTCATTAGAATTGTGTAACTATTGTTTGGCTTACCTAGCGAGTCGGGTTAGGTGCCATCACGACTAGGTAAAATTTGGGTCGCGATAACATTATAAGTCAATAACAATCCCTACATGGGTCGTGGCACCATTGTTGTGTATTTGCTAAATTCAAGAATTGAACAGGTTATTAGCGAGAATCATTAATAATGCTTGCCTCTATTACCTCGCCAAGGTTAGTTATGATACTTGTTGAGTAAATAGGGTCGATTGTACTCATATTACACTTCTGCACTCTGCGTGTAGATCTTGGAGCTGAGCTATTGTGGATGACGGAAGTTGGCATTAAAGATGTACCTATTTTCTGGATATAGCTACCACTTGTCCTTGGTAGTTGTGAATTTGTACTCTGTTTATGTATATTTTAAACAGATATTGTATTTATTTTTGTACCAACTTTGTATATCTAATCTTAAGTGGCTCATGACTTCTACTACCAATCATTGGGATATTGTATGAAAACTCAGCTATTTCAGTTATTGATTACTTATGATCTTCATTAGAATTGTGTAACTATTGTTTGGCTTACCTAGCGAGTCGGGTTAGGTGTCATCACAACTAGGTAAAATTTGGGTCTTGATAACATTATAAGTCGATAACAATCCTTACATGATCCTATTTCCAAGTGTTCTCATATTAGTGGATACTCACATAAAGGTCAAGCATATGGTATCTCAATCGCATGCATTGAGCATCTTTCTGAATGTGAGTTTATTTTTCAAATATCCTAAAAAATTCAAAATACTTCAAAAATGTGTGAAAATTAGAAATTTCTTTGTGGTAAGGGCACTTGAAATATGAGGATAGGCAAAATTCAAAACCTCTTATTGAAGCAAGACAAACAGATTTTGTCAAAGTTAGGTATACCGGAGGTACCAATCGAAGCTATAAGAATTACCTATATGCCAATTTTTGTTTGCTGGACAGCATATGGTGGAAATTCTTATGCACAATAATAATTGTTGATACCAATAAAGTGTAAATAAATCATAGTCTTCTCTATTCTACAAAATCACAAAAACAATTAAAAAAAATGCAGAAAATAATAAAAAAGTGTCAAGTAGAACCCCCTTTTCAACAAATTTCTTGCATAGGAAAGATAGCTTATTCGCTTTTACAGGCGCCAGCCTTCTAATGGGCATTTCAAAGTCAAACTCAAATTTTGCAGGTGCCCGCCTTTTAATGGTCATTTCAAAATCAAATTATACAGGCGCCCGCCATCTAATGGGCATTTCAAAGTCAAACTCAAATTTTACAGACGCCAGTCTTCTAATGGAAATTTCAAAGTCAAAGACAAATTTTACAACCACTCACCTTCTAATGCGGGTATTTCAAATTTTACAGCTCCAACCACTTCGGAACGGTACATAGCCCGTCTAAGTTTTAAAATCAAAGTGCTTCGATCACTTCAGACTTGTACCCAGCACGGATTTCCTTCAAAATCAAAGTTTTCCGACAACTTTATGCATGTACCTAGCCCGGACTTCATTCAAATCAAATGCTCCGATTATTTCGGACCGGTGCTCAACCCGAATTTCTTTCAAATTAAATACTTTGATCACTCCGGACCGGTACCCAGTCTAGATGTCTTTCAAATCATAGTTCGTACCAGGGTCCCTGCACCCCAACTTGAGACCCCATTTCATTCAAAAATCACATCATTCTTGCATCAAATCCACAAGCGTTATTCAAACCATTACTATCCATTTCCTTCAAGTCAAATAGGATCATAGCCCAAACCACGTCAACTCTACCAATAGAAAACACGTGGCACAACGTGAAATTTTCTTCTAGCAAATAAATAGGGGCAGGTTTTGAGGGCGAACGTCGAACTCCTCAACAGCCGTCGGCGGTATGCTCCCAAGAATCATGTTGTTTATATCCCATTTGTCATGGGGTGTTAGCTAATATGTATCCTTGATCAAAACAAAACACATGGTGTCATCATAGTGCTGGGATAATTTTTAAAATCAAAAAATCAAAAATCCAATCATTCCATAATATTCTCCATCACTTTCTCGGAACTATATTCGGCTTAATTCTCGTTACACTCGAGATATGTAGGAAACTCGATACAGAGTTCAGCCATATCTACATCAAAGTCCATTCAAACGAATCTATTCATCATCCAATATCCACATCTTAGTGTCACCGCAGTTCGACACTAGGGCAATCTTGGAAGCAATGTCGAGATCACACGAATCATTTTCGTCCTTGAATATCTGTGTTCCTTATCTCCCGCTCTATGAGGCTACAACCTAGAAGTAGCAGTCAATTGCATTCCAGAACTACACGCGACCTGATTCTCGTTAAGCCCGAGATATGTAGGCAACTCGGAATCAGAGTTCGGCCATAACCTTCAAAATCTCCACTATTCCCCTATTACATGTCCTCCGTCCTACTCAATTAAAGTCAAAACAAAATTGAGTTGTGTTAATATCTTTAACCGAAGACTCTTACATCGTCTCCAGTCAAAAAGAGGCAGTTGTTGACACTCAAGTTTAGCCCTATATATTTTATCAAAAAGAGGCAGTTGTTGACACTCAAGTTTAGCCCTATATATTTTATCAAAAAGAGGCAGTTGTTGACACTCAAGTTTAGCCCTATATATTTTATCAAAAAGAGGCAGTTGTTGACACTCAAGTTTAGCCCTATATATTTTAAAGATTAACTTCTGCAGACTTCCTGGTCATTAATGGTAAAATGTAGTCTATTCGCACATTTTTAAATTTAATACAATTTATTGATAATTATTCCTGTTTTTACAAAATACAAGAATTTTTATCATTTTATTGCAATTAATAAAATACTATCATTTTTGTGCATTTGTTTTTAAGTTTAAAATAATTTATTGATAATTATCCTATTTTCAAATGTTAGGATTTTCTATCAATTTATTATCCTTTAAAAAATAAAATAATAATTATTATAGTATTATTTTATTCGTTGGCATTTTTTAATAAGCACTACCAGCCATATTTTCTAAAAAAATAATTACTTTTAATAGGGGGACATCAAATTTTTGAAGGGATGAAATTAAAATACCCTAAGTCATTTTTTATATTTCCTTCCCTCTTCTCTCCCTAGTAGGGGTGGGCGTCGGTCAGTTCGGTTGGTTATTATGAAAGTTCGATTCGGTTTATCGATTTTCGATTTTGTAATATTAATAACCAAATCAAACCAAAGTATTTACTGTTCAGTGTGATTTTTTTAAAGTTCGGTTCGGTTATTTTCGGTTTAGTTTTTCGGTTATTAACGGTTCAAGATTTTTATATCTTGGATTTACTTCCAGTGGTCATAAACTTCCAGTCCAGTGATTTTTGCATCTTGAGCCACTGGGCAGTGGGCATAACGTTTTATCTTTTATGGATGTAACATTGTAACTTCTGGCAGCATCCAAACATGAACAATAGCAGGATTTCACAATATAACAATTAACCTTTCAAGTCCAAACAGAACACAACAGGATTTCACAATATAACAATTAACCTTTCAAGTCCAAACAAGCTAGCAATATACGAATCACTGAATTTCACAAACAAGCTAACCTTTCAAGTCCAAACAGAACACAACAGGATTTCACAATATAACAATTAACAACGTCAAACATCCAAGTAGTAAAATATCGCACAGTTCAGCAAACACTGTGCTAAATCTCGCAGCTACCAAAGTCTAAAACAAGTCTAGAAATACCATCACCAAACAACAAAAGAGTGGCAAACTAGTCACAACCCACAAGCCACAAAGTAAGTCTAGAAAAGGATACTTAAAGTCTTAAATACGAATCACTGAATGAGGCATGAGACACTTCTTAATGTGCTTCACTAAGCCAAAAGTGTCATAATACTTTGGATGACAATTATAAACTCGACCACAATAAAGGCACTTTGCTTTGCGGGCTTCTTCATTTACTTCAACTAGCTCAAAATGTTCCCAAATACGCGATCTAGCTTTAGGACCACGAGGCATAGTTGAACTTACAAAAAAAAGAAAAGATCACAAGTTAATAAAATATTTTTAATTATAAATAACAAAAGGATATCATAAAACAAGCAAATCTTTAAAGTTACCACTTGTTCAAACTATGCATCAACAATGCTAGTATCTCTTTCAACAATGCAAGTTTCTCTTTCGCTCGTTGCCATATCTAAATATAATTTGATAAAGTGTGTCATTTAAACTTACAAAGTAAACTAATTTTCACTAAAACACTCATAAAACGCAAAATCTTACCAAGTTCAATTTGCTCAAGAAACTCCAAACCTTCTTCAACATTAATAGGAGTACCCTCACATCTAAACCAATCTTGAACACAAACATGACTTTGCACCAACCGAGGAGTCAATGAACTCCTAAATGAATCAAGAATGCTGCCACTGGTGCTAAATGCACATTCCGATGCAACACGTGAATCAGCTTATAATCACAACCACAATGTTTACACTTTGCTCTATCACCTCCATTATCATCTTTAAACTTTTCAAAATGATCCCAAGCAGTTGATCTATATTGTACGGATTTTCTTATTTTTAGGCCTTGACTAGTTTCAACAGAATTTGTAGGTAAAGAAGTAGGTTCGCTTTTAGATGAACCCACCTCACTTACTCTACTTTCAAATTCTGCCATCTATAAAAAATCGAATGAAAACGGAATTAAGGTCGGAACACCTATAACAAATATTTTTTTTAATAAGGTAAAAATTTATAAATCAGATAAAGCCTAACTACAAACCAAGTTTCAAGCCCAACCAGAGTTCAATCAAAACCCAACCAAAATATGTTTCCAGTGAGCACAAAACACGAAATTGATGAGCGAACTCTAAAAGGTACACCAAAATTTTACATCAAATTTCTAGTGAACATGTTTCCAGTGAAGGGCATAACCAAATTTTACATCAAATAATTGATGAGCAAACTCTAAAAGGTACACCAAAAGGTACAAGATCTACACCAAAATCGAATGAGTTGAGGAAGAAAACTGAAAAGGAACTCAGAAGAAGTCACACTAACCTGAGGAAGAAGGATGAGCGACGAGCTGAGGAAGAAGGCGTCACAATCGGGCGTCGGCAACACTGCAGCAGTCGCACTGAGGTGAGAGGACTAGAGGAACCCTAAATCTAATTTTTGATTTCTAATTCTAAGGTGGGAACGTAAGTCGGTAAGAGTAAGTCACTAAGTGATTAAGTCTTAGGTTTGGATAAATTGGGTGTGCTTCAAATGGGTATTGGACTATTGGGCTTCAGCCTTAAGTTTTGGACTCTCAAAAGAACTCATATGTTCAAACCTATTTTTCTCAACTAATACCCAAAATTTTGATTTTTCGGTTTAATCGAAAATCGAAATACCAAAACCGTAAACCGTATCGAAAAATCAAAATTTAATAATTTAAAAATCGTGCACCGACCGAATAACCGCTTAAACCGAAATCGAAAAATCGAAATTCACGGTTCGACCGGTATTATGCCGACCCCTACTCCATTGGCAGTCGTTACCCCCACCTCTCTCAACCCTCCTTGCCTCCACTGCCGCCACCGGAATTGGTCACCGACCGACTGGCAACCACCTTTACACCATAACTGCTCCCCTATCTTCTTCCCCTCTCCCTTACTCCATTTCTCGCTGCCTCCTCCTCTCCCCGCGCTACTACCGGTGGTCATTGGTCGGAAAACGGCCGCCCACCACTGTTGCTTCACTCCCCATCCTCGTCGCTCCTCACTCTCTATTTTCTTTTAACTCTCTTCTACTTTGTAGGTGTCAAACCCATCAGAATCAGGCCGAATCTAACAAGATCTGGCCGGAAATGAAGTTAACTCCGGCGACTCGTTAGGCTTTTGTTTGGTCGTTGTTCCGGCACTATTTGCCGTCAAAGCAGCACTATCTTGATATCGTTTGGTATATTTTATTATTTTAACGCCGAAAAATGTGAAGATCTGGCCGGAATCAATTCCGGCGACTTTGTCTTTGGTCCTTTGACCGCTGCTCCGCGGATTTGCTATTGATGCAAGAATTTTGCTTTCATTTTTGCTATTAATTTCCACCATTTTCTCTGAAGCTTATTCATTATTTTGGGTTTGTTGCTCGTTGGATCGTCAGTTGGCGGCACTAATTTGTTTACCATTGATTCTTGTTGGTTTATGATACGCCGTTACACTATCTGATTGCTATTACTGATTATGATCCACAAATGTGCATATTTTTGAGTTTAAAATATTATTTTGCCTAAAGATATGGCCTGATGCAGAACAGAACCTTACGATGTTAAATTAAGGCCGATGAAAATAACCCCGAGATATTGAGGTCATGTCCCTCCGATTGACCCTCCGAACCAGGCGCAAAATGAAAGAGGCGATGACGATAAACTCATCGAAAAAGTAAGAATAGAAATGTGATGAACCAAATCTTTGGATGGTGACACGGATAGACATCGTAGTCGCAACCAAGGCGATTCCCCTTGTCATTTCTAGACGGAACAAACATATAATCTGAGCCTCCAAAATTATTTTCCAAAACTACTTTTAAAAACCCTTTTCCAAAAACATTTTCAAAAAGGAATTATTTTCAAAGAGAATTACCTTTGTACAACATTTTTCGTTTAATTATTATTTCATTAACTTACTAGTCTCTTTTATTTTTACTTTTGCGAGGCATTCTTACACGAAGTTGCTTCCAAAAGACGACGTTTGAAGAAAAATCAAATACGTATTCCCGTCAAATCTCGCACTTCGTACTTCCCATTCTAGGATGTAGATGAAACTCACAAGTACGGTGAAAAATATTACTTTAGGATGTTGAGTAGGGATTAGCGCTTACTCGTGACATGCTTGTTCGTCTATTTGCTTGCTAATAATATTTAGAATTATTGTATTTAGTTAATAATTAATGTATCTCTTAATATTTTAGTTTAATTAATCACATGTTCATAAATACTTAGACTTTTGGTATAATTCTATAGTTGAAACAATTAACTTGAATTTGGTATATGTTTAGCTAATGAAGTTAGTCAATTCGCTTCAAGTGAATATGGACTTATGATTTTGTTATGTTAACATAATTTCCTACAATAGGGTCTTTGAGTGATTTCGATTAGTAATAGATTATAGCTAATCAATTCTTTAAAATTAGTCTTTACACGTTTTATTTATTAATATATACATCTTCTAAAATCCTACATCACACTTTATTTTGTCCTTAGCTTATCTCACGACATTAGGATTATATCTAGTTACTTCATTTATATATCTTTTAATCATTCATTAATTATTTGGGAATTATTTTTCTTTGTAAGTATTAATTCATTTTTACAAAGTTCTCTCATACACGATTCATTTCTCAGTAAAATATTTTGAGTTAATTGTTAGTCACTTTATTCAAATATTTTTTATTTATTTAAAAATAAGTTTTAGTCATACTTGTTCATTCTTAACGACTATTTTCACATGTTATTCTTCAATAAATTTTTTTTTATCAAAGTCTAGTCATATTATATACAAATTTTAGAATAGTTCTATCCACTCATTTGTTAGATAAATACCCTTCACCTAATTGATTCGCTAGGGTTAAATTTCTAGTCAATTTGTTAATCTTTATTCGCCTGGGAATAATTCTTTAGTATACTCATTCATTTTTGGTAACCCTTTTCTGTATTATTCATTCTTTATTTACTTAATTAATTCTTTTGAAGCCAACAATTTTAGTCTCTCCATATTCATTTGAAAACGGTTCTTTCCTATAAAGTCATTTGTTTAAAATTCACTACTCTAACCAAATTATTTTGGTCACTTTTGAGACACCTTACTTGTTAATATAAATTTCATATACTTTATATACATGAATTCTTTCATATACTTTACATATCTATTTGATCACACATATTTTATGTAAATATTTCTATGCTTTCCTTACTATATTAATTATTCTTTTATGTTCAAATCTTTTGCAATATTTGTAAATGCTAATTACAGAATTCTCTCATTTAGTTAATCAATTCCAATCGGGAATCACACCTTGTGTAACGATTCAATCGGTCGTTTTAAGTATTTTAGCCTCATTTTCCCTATTTGATGCTTTAAATATGTTTATTTGTGGTTACGTAACTTTTCGGGGTGATTGGTTTCGTTTCGGGAGAGTTTTGGATTGATTTGGGACACTTAGTCCCTTGGTTGGAGGCTTAAGTTGTAAGAGTTGATCGAAGTTTGACTTTTATATATATGACTCTAGAATGGTGTTTTGATGGTTTCAATAGTTTCGCATGGTAATTTTGGACTTAGGCTTATATCCGGATTTGGATTTGGAGGTTCCTAGGTCGTTTTGGCTCGAATTGGCGAAAGTTCAAAAGTTGAAGATTTGGAAGGGTGATAGGATTGATCGAGGCTTGACTTTGATGATATCGGGCTCGGAATATTGTTTCAGAAGTTAGAATATGTTCATTTTGTCATTTGAAACTTGTGTGCAGAGTTTGGTTGTGATCCGAGATGGTTATGCATGAATCTACCACTAGATTTAACATCAAATTATGGGGTTTAGCAAGAGAAATTTGGGGATTTGGGCAAAACTTTTCTAAAGTGAATATTTGATATTTGAACATCGATTCAGAGTCGGATTTGAATGAAATTAGTATGGTTAGACTCGTATTCGGGTTCCGGAGTGTGATCCCAGGGTTGACTTTTTTATTTTAGTTAAATATCGAAGTGTTATTATTCAGAATTGTTTTCTTTGGCTTTTATTTATGATATTAAGTTATTTTGGCTAGATTCAAGCCATTCAGAGGTTGCTTCACGTGGGAAGGGCTTATTAGAGGTTTGATTTAGCTTATTTGAGGTAAGTATCTTGCCTACTTTTGTGCGGGAGAAATTACCCCTTAGGATTTGGTCTAATTAAATTAATTATACTATATGAAAGACGTGTACATGAGGTGATGAGTGTGTACACGTTCTTATGTGTGGTAATTGACCGTGTTAGGCTCTTAGGCTATTTATATGCCTTGATTTAGAGTTGTTTGACATATGAAACATGCTTTTATTTGTTGTTCACTCTCTACACCCTTATATTATTGTGATGATTCTTGTACATATTGTTGTTGAGCCATAGACTATATCTTGTTGTGGCATTGGTATTATTATTGTGGTGATATTGTGGTACATGTGTACGTGAGGTACGGGTGATTGTTATTGTTTTGTTGTGATTGAGATACGCATGCGGTGGAATAAGGGTGGTGTATATATTGACGCGCATGCGGCAAGATAAGGGGGCTTATGCACGTGAAGCAATTTTGGAAAAAATGCTGTAAAATGTGATTTGTGATTTGTGATTATGAGGTGTGGTACCTCGGGGTAATTTTTGTTGTAAATCTTGTGTTGAAACGGCTTGAGGATGTGAACTATCATTGTTTTTCTTAATTAATTTACTTGTATTTTAACTGTGTTTGGGCTAATTTATTGTATTATCACATGTCTACTCTTTGTTGCCATTTATTGATTTTGTTTTCTGTTGTTAGCTTTATATTGATATTTCACAGAGGTTTTATGTCTAGCGAGTGCCTTGACTTGAACCTCGTCACTACTCCACCGAGATTATTCTTGGTACTTATTGGGTACTGATTGTGGTGTACTCATACTACATTTTTACATATTTTTGTGCAGATCTAGGTGCCTCTAAGCGTGACAGTCGCTAGTGAGCTAATTTTGAGATAGTTGTGGAGACTTCAAGGTACACCGGCTATTCCGCTCACATGCCTCAGAGTCACCCTCTCCAGTTGTTTTGATATTGTTTACATATTCCAAACACTCATGTACACATTGAGATTTATTTTGTATTATTGTAGAGCTTATGGCTCAGTGTTACCGGGTTTTGGGATTTATGACTATTATTTTTCGTTGTTGGTTATATTATGATACTCCTTAGTTTTCATTGCTATTTTGGTTGTTATTTATGTTGATATCATTATGTGTTAGGCTTACCTAGTCCTAAGAATTAGGTGCCATCACGATCCTTAAGGTGAAATTTTGGGTCGTGATACTTTGTGGATCATGATGGCACCTAAGGATCGTGATGGCACCTAGTCTCTAAAACTAGTAAATGTGATGACCCGATAAGTCATTTTCAGTTTTAGCCCATATTTTTGTGTTTCGAAACCTCGATTAGCTCTATTTTAGCCTTCCTTGATTTGCGTGAGCAGTTTGTGTCTTCTACCGGAAGGTTTTTATGTAAACAATTGATGAAAATATAAAATCGTACATTAAAACTCATTTGAGTTGACTTCGGTCAATATTTTGAGCAAACAAACCCAGATTAGTATTTTGACTGTCTCGGTGGGTCCGTATCGTGATTTGGGACTTGGGCATATGTCCGAAATCGAATTCAGAAGTCCCTAGCTTGATTTAACGTAATTTGTTGAAAACTAAAAGTTTAAAAGTTTAAAGAATTCATAAGTTTGACCGTATGTTGACTTTATTAAAACTGGGTTCGGATTACGGTTCCGGAACCTTGTATAGGTTCATTTTTAGTATTTATGACTTGTCTGCAAAATTTGATGCAAAACAGAGTTGATTTGACGTGATTCGGGTGTCCGGTTGAAAATTTGAAAGTTCTTAAGTTTCTTTAAAAAATTTATTTGTTTTGGTGTCCGATTCATAGTTATAGGTATTATTTTGGTGTTTTGATCATGCGAGCGAGTTCGTATGATGTTATTATACTTGTGTGCATGTTTAGTTTGGAGCCCGAGGGGCTCGAGTGATGCTTAGAGAGATAGCTGATGCATCTTTACTTCTGGCATTACCTGCAGATCTCGCATTTGCGAGGTCTGTCCCGCAAATGCGAGCCTCGCTTTTGCGAATAATGAGTCGCATTTGCAAGCATGGGGTGGGTTGGGAAGACTTTGTGTAACGACCCGGTCGATCGTTTTGAGAATTTAAGTCTCGTTCGGTCGCATAAGGCCCTGAGCGGCTTCGTATTATGTGTATTGACTTGTGTGCGTGGTTGAATTTAGTTACCGAATGATTCGGAGTGATTTGGGACACTTAGTCCCTAAAACGGAAGTTTAAATCTTAGGATTTTTTACCGTAGTCGGAACTATGTGAAGACGACTCCAGAATGGAGTTCCGTCGGTTCCGTTAGCTCCGTTGGGTTATTTTGGACTTAGGAGTGTATCCAGACTGTGAATCTGAGGTCTCTAGCTGATTTTTGCTTGAAATGGCAAAAAGTTGAATTTTTGGAGATTTGGACCGGAAGTGGACTTTTTGATATCGGGGTCGGAATGCGATTCCGAGAGTTGGAACAGCTCTGTTATGTTATTTGGGACTTGCCTGCAAAATTTGACGTCATTCCAGGTTGGTTTGATAGGTT